TCCTTTGCCAACTCTCCATTGCCTAAAATGCCAACACAAGGCTACTCGATAATGGGAGTTGGTAAAAAGTGATTTGTTCCCTCCCTAATAGCAATGTGGGTCAACCTGCAGCATGTGACTGCAGTGGTTCAAAAAGGCAGCTCACCGCCAAGGTCTCAAGGGCAAGTAGGGATGGGCAATAAATGCTGGCCAGACAGTGATGCCCATGTCCCACATGTGAATAAGAAAAAGTCACTTACCTACTCATCAAACTGGCCTTCACGACTTGTGTAGCTGTTGGTGGTCATTCTCAACCCAACATTTGAGGGGTAGCCTGAGATGAAGAGTCAGGGAAGTTAATGTCTTAGTTTTATTCAACACTTAAGAGTCTCTAAAGCTACAGATCCAGCATGTGTTGGAACAGAAAGTTTGATTCCACCACTGCAGGTTTTGAAGGTTAGTTAATGCTCCGATAACTGCTAAATGTGTGGGAATTGTCTTCACCAGTACCACGGTTTACCATTTTTAAACTGGATGGAAAATCCCAGTTGTGGAATTTAAAGATTGATTGAATGTCTTCACATGTGATAGAACCACAGTGAATATCTGTTTGGTTTTCCCTATCATTTTTAATTTCACTTTGTCTTGTTAGTTTGGTTTTAAGATTATTTTTGTCAATTATCCCTTTTTCTTTGAGACGTTAACCTGTTTAAGTGCAGGCTTTTAGTAGTTTGCCCTACAGTTAGGCTTTGCCACGTTTTTAACTGGGGTGAGAGTATGGTACGGGAGAGAACTAGCCTGAGGACGCTGCTCAGATGTCTGTACCAGTGTAATGGTCATTTTAAACCCCATTCTCATTTTAATTTTCCAAATCAAACCTTCTGAAGCTAGTGGCAATCATGTGATGGCCATCAGACTGGAGTGGAAAATCACGCTGCAGCAGATTATTGCCCGAGCTCAATTCTCATCCCACAGCCAAGGTCTGTCATTGTAGGAATGGATCGGCCAGGGACACCCACGTTTGCCACACCTCCACGTTCCCATTCTTTTTGAATTGCAAATTAATTCCAGATCTGAATGACTTGTGTATTTAAAAATAAAAACAAACATTTCCCTCCTTTCTTCCTCAGATTCTGTTACAATCATCTTAAATTTGTCCCCCTCTGGTTATTGACACTCCTGCCACTGGAAACTATCTCTGAGTTTATCCGTTTAAACTCCTTCGTAATTTTGGTACTAAATTTTTCTTTAACTGTCTCTTCTCTAAGAAGATCAGCTGCAGCTCCTGTAGTCTCTTTACATGACTTATGCCCCTCACCTTTTGCCCATACAGAGGCACCACGGCAGTCGATGGAGCTGGGTTTGGTATTGATCGGCCTGCAGAGCTCAATAAGGATGATGACGAGTATGAGGCATTCCGTAAGCGGATGATGCTGGCCTATAGATTCAGACCCAACCCGCTGGTAGGTGATCACAGCATGCATACAGGGTGGAGAAAGGGCAAAAGCCTCTAGCCACTCTTAGTGTGTGTTTCAATTCTATGGAATTTATTTAGATCATCTGAGAACTACTTCTGCATTAAGACATTGATCTCTGTATTTTGGAACTTAAATTTGTGAATAAAATATACTGTTTATCTGTTGGTTAATGGAACACATCTGAGGGACTGAATGGCCTGATTGAATGATAGAACAGGCTTGAAGGCCAAATGGCCTATTATTACTGTGTTACTAACTGGATTGAACAGTGGGACAAAATGCTGCCTTATGCTGTATTATTCTGTGATATATGCCCAGGAAATGATGGTGTCCCTGCTGTATTGCTGCTATTGTCTATCCCTTTGGGAAAACCACAGAAGGCATTGCTGTTGTGAATTGAAGCAGTGAATCTCACATTCACACTTTCACCATTGTGCATGGGTGATAGTTGGGATGGTTATTGGGTCTGTTTGACAATTGGCCTGCATTTGTCTGGGTGTGACTTTCCCATCAACACTGTGATTTTGAGCTTTTTCCTGAGTACTTGTTTTCCCTTGTTATCCCTTGGGTTTTCACCATTTTAAACTTCTGCTTTTTCTTGGAGGTTCTACAACTCTGTGGGTGGTGTGTTATTGTGAAAAGGGCTGGGGTGTGTTGGTGTGATCGGCAGTGTGTCCTGGTGTATTGGCTAGGTTTTCTGTGCCATTTGCGCCTGTGCTGTCAGATTTTTTTTCTGAAGTAACATGTGATTTCTTGTTTCAGAATAACCCAAGGAGGCCTTATTACTGACTCCTGCATTTCCACACGCAGCCACAAGGAGGTTTCCCAGTTCAGTTCTTTGCTGTGATGTTTAGTTTGGTTCTTCAATGGCACAGTGATCAGATGACCGTGCTTGCAAGAGATGAACTCAAGAGTTGGATTTCCCTTAAAAATGGTGTTGAAATCTTCTAAACCACTGGGCCACATTCCTCCCAGTTTCCTTTCCATATTCAAAGCAGCCCTTTTCCTCTTCATACGGGAAAAGAAAAGAGGAAAGAAAAGCTTCTTCAGGTCTCAACACGATGGCAATCATGCTGAATCGCTCCGTAAACCATAAATCTGATAACAATGTAGTGTTCAGGATCATTGGTGAGGACAGTCGAACCATCCCTTACATATATCCCGCCTATGGAGATTCAGGTGCAAGAGAAGACTGCAGTGCATCTCACTATGCTCCTGCGGATGAGGGAAGAATTGTTTTCTTATCCATATGGATGCTTTAAACACCCTGAGAGAAACCTAAGGAAGTGTTACCGAGGCCTCAATGTGCAGCAGGAGAAATCTCAACCGTTTTGGACATCTCTGATAGTTGCTCAGTAACTTTTTACTCTCTAGAAGGTCTGTCAAACATTTTCTTGCAAAATATAGAACTGCTGCATGTTTGTGCTGAAATAAATTTTATCATTCTAATCATCACGGGAGTCCTGCTTTTTTAAAACATTTTCTCTCATGGATGTGATGTAACTGAGTCTTACACATGAACAAGTCCCACATTGCATTCTTGGACCATGTTGGGTTAGCTCATTTCTGTGAGAGCAGTAGAGCGATGCAGAGGAATTGACCATGTAATTGTATGCATGGCTCAGTAGTTAGTTACCCCTACAGACATTAAAATATTTGCAAATTATCAGACCAAGTGTGGCAGCAGAGCTGAGACAAATAAAACATATGCAGTATTGCAGCATAAGTAGACCATTCAGCCCATCTGTCGTTCAACACAAATTGTGGCTGACCTTGGGCTTTTGGGGTAGGCGATGGCCTAATGGTATTATTGCTAATGCTGTAGGGACTCTAGTTCGAATCCTGCCATGGCAGATGGTAGAATTTGAATTCAATAAAAAAAATCTAGAATTAAGAATCTACTGATCACCATGAAATCATTGTTGATTGTCAGAAAAACCCACCCGGTTCGCTAATGTCCTTCAGGGAAGGAAATCTGCCATCCTCACCTGTCTGGCCTACATGTGACTCCAGACCCACAGCAATGACTCTCAATTGCCTCTGAAAAGGCCCAGCAAGCCATTCAATTGTACCAATCACTAGAAAGTCTCCAAGAAATGAAACTGGATGGCTCACCTGGCATCGACCTAGGTACCGGAAAACACAACAGCAGAAACAGCCCTGCCAACTCTCCTTACCAACTTCTGGGCCTGGTGCCAAAATTGAGAGTGTTGTCTCACAGACCACTTAACCAACAGCCTGATATAGTCATGCTCACTGAATCGTACCTTACAGATAATGTCCCAGACACCACTATCACCATCCCTGGATATGTCCTGTCTCAACGGCACAACAGACCCAGCAGAGGGGGCAGCACAGTGGTATACGGTCAGGAGGGAGTTGCTCTGGGACTCCTCAATATTGACTTTGGACCCCATGAAGTCTCATGGCTACCAGGTTAAACATGGGCAAGGAAACTCCTGCTGATTACCACACACCGTCCTCCATCAGCTCATGAATCGGTATTCCTCCATTTGGAGGAAGCACTGGGGGTGGCAATGGCACAAAATGTGCACTGGATGGGGGATTTCAATGTCCACCATCAAGAGTGACTTGAGAGCAGTACAAGCTGGTTGGGTCCGAAAGGACATAGCTGCTAGACTGGGTCTAGCAGGAGGTGGTGAGGGAAAATACAAGAGGGAAAAAAATACTTGTCTTCATCCTTACCAATCTGCCAGCTGCAGATGCATCTGTCCATGACACTATCAATAAGAGTGACCACCTCACAGTCTTTGTGGAGATGAAGTCATGCCTTCACATTGAGAATAACCTCCATCATGTTGTGTGGCCCTATCACTGTGCTAAATGGGGCAGACTTTGTGCAGATCTAGGAACTCAAAACTGGGCATCCATGAGGTGCTGTGGGCCATCAACAGCAGCAGAACTGTACTCCAGCACAATCTGTAACCTCATGGCCCGGCCTATTCCCCACTCAACCATTACCATCAAGCCCGGGGGATCAACCCTGGTTAATTGGAGAATTCAGGAAGGCATATCAGGAGCACACCAGGCATACCTGAAGATGAGGTGTAAACCTGGTGAAACCACCAAACAGGACTACTCGCACACCAAACAGCACAAGCAGTAAGTGATACAGCTGACTGACCCCACAACCAAAGGATCAGATCTAAGCTCTGCAGTCCTGCCACATCCAGTTGTGAATGGTGGTGGACAATTAAACAACTCAATGGAGGAGGAGGCTCCACAAATATCCCCATCCTCAATGATGGAAGAGCCCAGCACATCAGTGCAAAAGATAAGGCTGAAGCATTCGCAGCAATCTTCAGCCAAAAGTGCCAAATGGATGATCCATCTTGGCCTCCAGTGGTCCCCAGCATTACAGGTACCAGTCTTCAACCAGTTTGATTCACTCCACATGATATCAAGAAACGGTTGGAGATACTGGATACTGCAAAGGCTACGGGCCCTGACAACATTCTGGCAATAGTACTGAAGACTTGTGCTCCAGAACTTGCCACTCCCCTAGCCAAGCTGTTCCAGTACAGTTACAAAGCTGGTATTTGCCCGACAATGTGGAAAATTGCCCAAGTGTGTCATGTACATAAAAAGCAGGACAAATCCAACCCGGCCAATTACCGCCCCATCAGTCTACTCTCGATCATCAGTAAAGTGATGGAAGGTGTCAGTAACAGTGCTATCAAGCAGCACCTGCTCAGCAATAACCTGCTCAGTGATGCCCAGTTTGGATTCCACCAGGGCCACTCAGCTCCTGACCCCATTACAGCCTTGGTTCAAACATGGACAAAAGAGTTGAATTCCAGAGGTGGGGTGAGAGTGACAGCCCTTGACATCAAGGCTATATTTGACTGGGTGTGGCGTCAAGGAGCCCTAGCAAAACTGGCATCTATGGGTATCAGGGGCAAACGCTCCAGTGGTTAGAGTTGTACCTGACACGTAGGAATTTGATCGTGGTTGTTGGAGGTCAATCATCTCAGCTCCAGGACAACTCTGAAGGAGTTCCTCAGGGTAGTGTCCTCGGCTCAACCATCTTCAGCAGCTTCAACAATGACCTTCCCTCCAACATAAGGTCAGAAGAGTTGACGTTTGTCGATGATTGCACAATGTTCAGCACCATTTGCAACTCCTCAGATACTGAAGCAGTCCATGTTCAAATGCAACAATATCTGGACAATATCCAGGCTTGGGCTGACAAGTGGCAAGTAACATTCGCGCCACACAAATGCCAGGCTATGACCATCACGAGTAAGAGACAATCTAACCATCACCCCTTTGCATTCAACAGTGTTACCATCACTGAATCCCCCACTATCAACATCCTGGGGGTTACCATTGATCAGAAACTCAACTGGACTCACCACATTAACACAGTGGCTACAAGAGCAGGCCAGAAGCTGGGAATACTGTGGCGAGTAACTCACCTCCTGACTCGTCAAAGCCTGCCCACCATCTACAAGGCACAAGTCAGGAGTGTGATAGAATACCCCCAACTTGCCTGGATGAGTGCAGCACCAACAACACTCAAGAAGCTTGACACCATCGAGGACAAAACAGCTGACTTGATTGGCAGTATATCCACAAGCATCCATTCCGTCCACCACCAATGCTCAGTAGCAGCAGTGTGTACTATCTACAATATGCACTTCAGAAATTCACCAAAGATCCTCAGACAGCACCTTCCAAACCCACAACCACTTCCATCTAGAAGGACAAGAGCAGCAGAGACATGGGAACACCACCAGCTTCAAGTTCCCCTCCAAGCCACTCACCATCCTGCCTTGGAAATATATCGCCGTTCCTTCACTGTCACTGGGTCAAAATACGGGAATTCCCTCCCTATTGGGATTGTGGATCATCCCACAGCAGATGGACTCCAGCAGTTCAAGAAGGCTGTTCACCACCTGTTGTCAAAGGCAACTAGGGACAGGCAAGAAATGCTGGCCAGCCAGCAATGCCCATGTCCCACAAATGAATAAAAAAAGTTCTACTTTCCTGCCCACTCCAAATCCCTTGATTCCCTGAACGATCAAATCTCTACCTATTCCAACTTTGCATATACTCAACAATGGCCCATCTAGAAACCTTTAGGGTAGGAATCTCCAAAGGTACACAACCCTTTGGTGGAAAAAAATTTCCACATAGTCCACGCAGGTTCACTGGAAAATGAGCTGGAGCAGGAATCTTAACTGTCTCCTGGCTCTGTAATAGCAATTTCTTGTTTGTGTGTATGATATCTCTAATGTAGTAAGTTATCACAGGTCAAATGCGCAGGAGTGGTAGCAAATTTGACTTTGAGCCATGTAGGCAGATAATTGGGCAGATGGACAAAAGTCAAAGGTAAGTTTTGAGGAACGGTTTAAAGGGAAGAGAGTAATGGAGAAGTTGGGGGAGAAAATTCAGAGCTTAAAGATCAGGCAGCTGAAGGCAAGGTCAACAGTGGTGGAACAATTAAACAAGGAGGTGCTCAAGTGGCCAGAGTTGGATGACTGGAGATATCTCTGAGGGCTGATGGATGTTAAGGAGATGAGGATCAGCCAGGCCATATAGAGATTTGAAAACAACTAGAGTACGTGCGTTTTAAAATCTAGGCTTTGCCAGACTGATAGCCATTGAAAGTCAGTGAGTAAGAGGCATAATGTGTCAATGTAACTACTACTGAGTTTGACACAACAGTATAGTTTTAGATAAACTTCTGGTAAAAGATGGGGAAACTGGTCTAGGCCCGAAACGTCAGCCTCTCTGCTCCTATGATGCTGCTTGGCCTGCTGTGTTCATCCAGCCCTGCACCTTGTTGTCTCGGATTCTCCAGCATCTGCAGTTCCTACTATCTCTGATTCAGGAATAGTCCAGTTCAGACTTAACAAGACAAGTAGATAAGTTCAGCAACAACTAGACTGAGGTTAGAATGGTAGAAATCTTTGACTTAGTTTTTAGGGAGAGGAAAACATAGGAGCAGGACTAGGCCATTCAATCCCTCAAACCTGCTTTGCTATTCTAGATTGGTATCTATCTTTGCCATTTTACTGCTCTATTCACATATTTCTTGATGGTATTATGATCCAGGAATTGATTGATCTGTGTTGAACATACTCTGACTCAGCCTCCAAAACCCTCTGGGGTACAGAATTTTTTAACATTCACCACCCTCTGGGTGAAGAGATTCCTTCTCATCCCCGTCCTAAATGCCTGTCTGTTCTGAAATTATGTCTCTTGGTTCCAGGCGCCCTGTTTCACCTTATAAGAATGTTATAGTTTTCAATGCAATCATCTCATTCTTCTAAACTGTATAGAACACAGATCCTTTGATTTCTCTTTGTTGGATGGTCCTGCCATCCCAGGAATTAGTCTGATGATTCACCACTGCACTCCCTCTTATAGCTAGTATATCCTTCTCTGGGTAAGGGCCCAATACTACACACACTACTCTAGCTGTT